AAAAAAAAGGCAAAGCACAGTGTGGGATGCAGGTCACTTTATTCTACTGAACACGCTTAGGGAATCACTCGCAGTCGGGCCGTTGGTGACTCGGAGGCAACAAGATGATCCGAGAGTCTCATTCTTCATTCTGTCCTTTCTGCAATGACAGGAAAAAAAAGACAAGGTGAGTCGGAGAATTTTCTTTGAATTTCCATCCATCCATCCATCTTCTAATCCGCTTCTCCTCACGAGGGTCGCGGGCGTGCCGGAGACTTTCTCAGGTGTCTTCTGGCAGGAGGCTGCGTACCGCGGACTGAACTGGTTGCCAGCCGATCGCAGCTTCTTCGAATTGAGGTTTGCCTTTTTTTCAATGAAATGATACTGTCGAAGGTTTTAGACGTGAGCTTTCAAATTGTTTTCCTAGGATCGTCCAAACGATCACCTCGTGAGAGGAAGGACGGATTTTCCCCAATTCCTGATCGCAGGGATTGATTCCAGCACACGCCCGTGATCCTCGTCGGGCTCGGATCATGGACGGCTGGATGGATGCATGCATTTCCACCAAATTTGGCAGACACTGAAAGCGCCAAGGTAGAATTCAGGACAGGCGTTCGGTCGACTGTCGCGACACCTGCTTTCATTTGGAATACACGGCGTAAGTAAGATGGCGGCGTTCTATTGAACACAATCATGAATACATTGAAGGCAAAACGTCCCAAACCGACCTTTGGGCCAACGTCGCGACTCTTGGCACGCAGCTTGTTGACCTGAGACTCGGCCATGTCGGCTCTCTCCTCTGCTTCATCAAGCTCGTGCTGAATCTTGCGGAACTTGACCATGTTGCTGTTGGCTTGTTCCTCCTGCACACACGCGCGCGACATTGCGATGACCGGCGCATTTGAAGTGGGACTAGGAATTTCCGAAAACAAGCGGTCGTCGTTGAAGACTCGCTCGAACTTTGTTTGCGTTCGGCTTTCTGGCAGCGACCGCTGTTTGCGGGAATGCACGACAGTAAGATTTCAAAGTCGTCTTTGTCGAGCGCTTACAGCCTCCTCGGCGGTCCTCTTGTACGATTTCACTTTGAGCTGGAGTTTATCCACCAGGTCTTGCAGACGGGCGACGTTCTTCCGATCCTCCTCCGTCTGAAATAAATATCGAAAGCTATGTCAAACCCGTCTTTTTCATATTAATGAGAAAAAAAACGAATGCAAGCAGTGTTACACATATCACTCGTTTCCTTTTACCTGGTAGCTGAGCTCTTTGATGCGTCTCTCATACTTCCGCACTCCCTTGATGGCATCACTTGACTTTCTTTGTTCGCTTTCTAGTTCACTTTCAAGCTCTTTCATCTATTAGGAGGACAATATGAATTATTAGTAGTATTTTTTTGGGGGGTGGAAGAGGCATCTTAGAAGTTTATTTACAATGAAATGCGGGGTTACTTTATTTTGAATGCTAGATTTTCAAAAAAGTCTACACACGCTTCTTGGATTTGGTGGGGGAAAAAAAAAATGAGACCAAGATATATCATGTCCAAACGTTTTCCACCAGTAATGTCACCTATAACCTTGACAACACAACTGAAAAAACAAAAATGATATTTTAAAGTGAAGCCTGGCATTTGAATAGGGGCGTGTGGACTTCTTCGTGAATATTTCCAATGTAGTCAGCGTTTACGTTTGCACGAGGATGAGTTGCACTTACCCTGGCCTCCAGTTTCTGCATTTGTTTCTTCCCTCCCTTCATTGCGATTTGTTCAGCTTCATCCAGACGGTGCTGCAGGTCTTTGATGGTTTGCTCCATGTTCTTCTTCATACGCTCCAGGTGGGCGCTAGTGTCCTGCTCTTTCTTCAGCTCCTCCGCCATCATGGCGGCATCTGTGATGGCCTTCTTGGCCTTCTCTTCCGCGTTCCTGCACTCCTGCACTGCATCTTCAACCTCGCTCTGAAGCTGGGAGGCGTCAACTTCCAGTTTCTTCTTCTGGTTTAGCAGGCTGGTGTTCTGATTGAAACGGCAGGGGGAGGGTGAGGGGGCCAATCATAAATTCAGAGGCATCGCATCGCATTTGAACTGACCTGCGAGTGCAGCAGCTGCACCCTCTCGCCAACATCCAGAAGCTCCTGCTCGGCAAGTTTGCGACTCCTTTCGGTTTGCTCGAGAGCGGCCCTCAGTTCCTCCAGCTCGGCTTGAATGAGGTTGTTGCGTCTCTCCACCACGGCCATGTTCTCTTTGAGATCATCGTTAGCGCGAAGAGACTCATCCAGTTGGAGCTGGCGATCCTTGAGGACGAAACCCAAATGTTAAAGTCGACTTTAAAAAGGCGGCTTTCTTCGGGCCGTTCATACCTTGAGATGTGCGTGAACAGATTTGAGTTGCTTCTGGGCCTCAGCCGCCTGCCTGTTGGCCTGACTGAGCTGAATCTCCATCTCGTTGAGGTCTCCCTCCATCTTCTTCTTCAAACGAAGGGCCTCGTTCCTGCTCCGAGTCTCCGCCTCGAGGGCGCTTTGAAGATTGTCCACAATCCTCTGTTGGTTCCTCTTGGCTTGCTCCAGCTCCTCATCTTTTTCCGCCAGCTTGCGCTCAATTTCGGCCTTCACCTGACTGAATTCGAGCTGGGCTCGGAGAATTTTTCCTTCCTCGTGCTCCAACGTGGCCTGCAAAACTCAAATCATGTGGGATCGCTGCACGTGCTTGGTGTACCAATGTGGCAGACCGAATCCCATTTCGCGTTGGGTTTTTCGCCCCGCACAACCTACCTCAGCCTCTTCCAAAGCGGTTTGGATGTCAGACTTCTCCTGTTCCAACTGCTTTCGTATTTTCTCAAGCTCATGGATGCTCTTTCCAGCCTCGCCAATTTGCTCGGTGAGGTCGGATATTTCCTCTTTGCGTTCACATGAAACACAACATGAATTCACCCGTTCTCTTCATGTTCATATTGGATTGAAACGAAGGATAAGATTGACATCAGCTGACCTTGCAGGTTCTTGTTTTCTCTCTTCAGAGTCTCCAAGTGCTCGAGAGATTCTTCATAGGAGTTCTTCAGTTTGAAAAGCTCCGTGCTCAAAGTCCTCGCCTCCTTCTGAGAACTTTCCAACTCTGATTGAGACTCCTCATATTTCTGCTTCCACTCTGCCAAGATCTGAAAGAGCGTCCCTCTTTTTAGATCTTTGCAATTGTGCTCCTGGAATATAAAGCGGTGACTGGCAACCAATATGGAATGAATTCAACCTTGTCAAAGTTTCTTTGCTTCTTGTCCAGAGCAGCGGCAGCGGCGTTGGACCTCTCCACGTCCACCATGAGGTCTTCGATCTCATTCTGCAGTCTGTGTTTGGTCTTCTCCAGAGAGGAACATTTAGCATTCGTTGCTTCCACAGCCTCCTCGGCATCCTGCAGACGCTGAGCCAGCTTCTTCCTGCATTTCCATCGGTGGTCCTTAGTTTACCGTGACACTGTCGGTGTCACCATTGGATAAACGGATGGAGCGTTGACTCACTTGGCCTCCTCCAGCTCTTCGGTCCTCCGGATGGCATCGGTTTCATACTTGGTCCTCCACTGAGCCACCTCCGAGTTGGCCTTGGACATGCCGCGCTGCAGTTCGGCCTTGGCCTCCTGCTCCTCCTCGTACTGCTCTCTGAGCAGGTCGCAGTCGTGGCGAGAGGACTGCACGGCGTGGGCTAAAGCGTTCTTGGCCTAAAACGAGTCGACCGTTTCCCTGTGCCTCACGTTGCGAGACCATCACTTTTGTACGGTATTATTTTCATCACAAGGACATGCGCTACCTTGACTTCCTCTTCCAGTTGCCTCTTCAAGTCTTCAATTTGTTGACTGTAGGATTGTTTTCCTCGAGTCAGTTGCGACACCAGGGAATCCTTCTCCTCAAGTTGCCTCGCGAGTTCACCTAATGTTCACAGCGCAATCATACTCTCCGTGCATTTGGGATCACGCAAACTGAATGCAACACGCGATACCGTTTTCAGTTTGAAGTTTGGCTTTGTGCATGGTGAAGTCATTGATGGTGCGCTGCCCCTCCTCTGCCTTTGTTTTATATTCACTCATCTGGTCTTCCAGGGACCTGCACATTTTCTCCAAATGACTCTGAAATGAAGAAAAGACCCATTTGTCCTCAAAGTATTTCACGGGTGTTAAGCGGTAATCCTCACGAGGGTCGCGGGCGTGACGCATGTACAGCCCCCCCAACCGGTTGCCAGCCCATCGAAGGGAACACATAGACCAACAACCATTCGTGCTCACGCCTCGGGACAATTTCGAGTGTTCCATTAACCTGCCATGCATGATTTCTCGAACGTGGGAGGAAACCGGAGTGCCCGGGGAAAACCCACGCAGGCACGGGGAGAACATGCAAACTCCACACAGGGAGGCCGGAGACAGAATCCGACTTTGCACACCCGCACGCATTCGAAAATGGTTGGATGGATGGATCATAACGAATGAGTTGTAAAAAGCGCAATGATCAGAAAAATATTTCGTCTTCCGGTGAATGATAAATGGGCTGCTGATGCGTGATTCAAAAATGAAAAACAATCGTTGCCAAATACATAGTTCTTCCACTTTGGAAAGATACGACATGTCGCATTGGATTACCTTGGACTTGACAACGTGTTCCATGTTGGAGACGACGTCGTCCAGTTCCAGCCTGAGTTCGCTCTTCTCCTTCTCCAGTTTCTGCTTGACTCTTTGCAAGTTGTCAATCTGCTCCCCCAGGTCAGCAACGCTGTCGGCTTGTTTCTTTCTCAGCGTGGCCGCGGTGGCTTCGTGCTGCAGGGTGGCCTCTTCCAGGTCCCTGCGGAGTTTCTGGAACTCGGCCTCCCTCTTCTTGTTCATCTCGATCTGGGCCGATGTTGCTCCGCCGGCCTCCTCCAGCCTCTCGCTGATCTCCTCCAGCTCCCTGGCCAAGTCCGCTCTCTGCTTTTCCACCTTGGCCCGGGCGGCTCGCTCTGCCTCCAGCTCTTCCTCCAGCTCCTCGACGCGGGCCTAATACCCGATACATTCAAATGCAAAATGTGAACGCGAGTCCATACAAGGCCGTCCAAAAAAAACCCTCAAGACCCAGATTATGATTGCTTTATTCAGTAGACGACACAACAAATATCAATCAACAGCGCCATTGTCAGTACAAGCTGACCCAGGTCCTTTGGAGAGCAAACAAGTTTGGAAAAGGTCATTGTGATCCTAAACTGACCTTTCATTGATGGAGGAAACTACATTTTGATACGATTGTGACCATACCTGCAACTCCTTCAGTTTTTTCTGGAGTTGTGCACTCATGGCTTGCTCATCCTCTATTTTGCCCAAAAGTTGGGTAATTTCAAAATCTTTCCTGTGAATGGACATAAATGCATTTCAGTCAGTGGGAAAGTAATTTGAAACAAACTTTTTTTTTTTATAAAAAAAATCCTGGAACCCCTAACTTTTTCAGCCTCTCTTCAAGTTGTTGCTTGTCATTTTCCAGGTCCATCAGACTCTCTTGAGCTAATTTTAAGTCCCCTTCCAGCTTTCGCTTTGCCCTTTCAAGGTCCATTCGTACTTTTTTCTCTTGCTCCAGGGATCCTTCCAGCTGTTGGGGGATATTCACAATGAAGTTGGTTAGCTCGCGCAAACGACTGGTTGATTACCTTTCATCTTGCATCTTACGTCATCCACTTGCTGCTCGAGTTTTGACTTGGCCTTGGTCAGAGTGTTGACTTTGTCTTCCTCACTCTGAAGGTCATCCAGCGTTTGCTGATGAGCTTCTTGCAAGGCCTTCTTCTCCTTGGTCAGCTTAGCGATGATTTCATCTAACGCTGCCATTTCATCGGTCAGGTTCTTCACCTGGCCACAGGAAGTCATATTTTCAGCTCCCTGCATGATCGTCTTGAGGGTTTGTGTCTGGGTTGTACCTTGTTTTCCGTGGCGTGTTTCTCCTTCTCCACTTTAGCCAGCGTTAACTCCAAGTCGTCAATGTCCTTCTTCAGCTCAGAGCACTCGTCCTCCAGCTTCCTCTTCTTTGCTGTTAGTTCAGCATTCATCTCCTCCTCATCCTCCAGTCGTTCAGTTAACTCTTTGGCTTTTGCTTCCATCTGGATTTTGTTTTTGATCAGTCCCTCGCATCTTTCCTCAGCGTCGCAAAGATTATCCTGCTCCTGTTGTCAACAAATTCACATCAGCATGAGATGGGAGGCTTGCTGCAGTCTTACCGTGACTGGCATTTCTGACGGGAGACATACAGTCTGAACTTGAAGCTGTAAGTCGTTTTTCTCTTGGAGAAGTGTGACCATTTTTTCTTCCAGTTCCTTTTTGCGGGCTTCCGATTTGGCGTATGCCTCTTTTAGTTTGGTAAACTCCTCCTTCATGTTGGCCATTTCCTTTTCTGTTTCCGCTGACTTGAGCAGAGGTTTGATCTTGAAGAACATCTTCATCCAAGGCCAATTCTTGACCCCCATGAAGGCACGGATGTTCCACTGGATCACAAGTAACGCATCCCTGTTGACGACAGTTGCTCATTGATTTTACGTAAGAACTTGGTTCAGGGGCGGCCCGGTAGTCCAGTGGTTAGCACGTCGACTTCACAGGCTGGTTCTTGGGCTCGCTTCGACCAGAACTTGGTTCAGTGCATCCCAACCCTTTCTTTCAGCCTCCAATGATGATCACTTGCTGGTTCTTGGGCTCGCTTCGACCTATCCCAGCAGAGTTTAGATGAAGGTGAGTTGCACATTGGAACGGTTGCCAAGCGGAAACATTGCCAATAGTCAATAGCTAATTATCGATTGCCATTCACACTTGCATCCGCACACTTGCACTGCAAAGGAAATCATTTCATCAACATTGTAAATTACTGGTATACATATATTTGCTCGGTGTTCAATATTTTAAAACATGGCCACTTTCAAAAAAGAATGTCCACTTGTCATTTCAGCTGTGTTGAACTATGTGTATTGTTCTTGTTTTGTTGGTTAATTGCAAACCACCCTTGCAGTCATTGCAAAGAAATATTCTGGTGAATGATTTTCACAGCAACTCTCGAGCCAATTTGGAGTCTTCATTTAGCCTTGCATGCATCTTTTCGCATTTGGCCAGATAGTATTGCTTTTAATACATTGTTTGATACGTTGGTTTTTTTTTTTTTTTTATAGAGTTTGGCTTTGACATTTTACCTTCGTTCAACAATCTTCTGGAATTCAATTCTTGCCAGAAGACCCCTTGAGCGGGCTTGGATGCCAGTGATGATGAGTGCTAATCGGTCATCTCGCATCTCTTCAAGCTGACCCAGCAGTCCAGCTTTAAAGAACACCTGTTGGAGCACATTGTTAAAAATCTGCAACAATCATATGTCACGGAGTGATGCATAAACGTGATGAAATGACGGCGGAAGTGACGCAACGGCACCCTAGTGTGGCACCTCCTTCCCGCCGTAGCCGGTGAGTTGCAACTCGTTGATCGTCCGGATTGATTCACAATTCGGAATTAATATGTCAGTGTGTTTTTCTTCTACTGCTGTGCGGTCTGCTCAGCTATTAATTGTTTTGGGCCCACATCGGTGTCTGTGTCGTTGTTCAAGTGACGCTTTTGTCGACCGAAACTTTTTACATGTTGAGGTGATTAGCAAATGCTCGTTTGTTGCCCAGATATTGTCCGAGACCGAACCAGGCTTCGCCGTGGTTTATGGAATCTCCTGTCAATTTTGCCTCTGTCTTGTTATTGACGTTGTTATTTTTCATCTGTTCAATTGTGTGAGTGGCGCCAGCCCGCGGCACAGCGCAGCGCGGCTGCCGTTTGCGTTTCTCTGACACGAGAGCGAGCGAGACGGACTGCTGCTTGAGCATTGCGCCCGCCATGCTGTGTTGCAATAAAAAGAACATCCGGAGTCCACCTGAGTGTCAGCGATGTGTTGATACAACAGCGAGGTGGAGCTGTATATGGCCGCCCACTCTCGTGGCCCGTCACACATATACAAGTACTGTAATATTCTCTTCCACAATGCATGAACTACAGACCTTGGTGTGTCCGAGCTTGTACTGGTTGTGGTCAATATCCAGAGAGGCGAGCAGTTTCTCTGCAGCTTTCTTGTTGTCAATGAACTGTCCTTCAGGAATTGCATTGGGGTTCAGAATACGGTATCTAGAATAAAAACGAGACAGTTATCCAACTGATTCAGTTAGCGTGCCATAAATGGGTAATTCACTCTGATGTGCCACCTCTGTTTGAAATCTCCGTAGAGGATCCTGTTGGGGAAGCCCTTTCTGCAGATCCGGATGCCTTCCAGCACGCCGTTACAGCGCAGCTGGTGCATCACCAGCGGGTTTTCCATGGCTCCAGGAGTCTTGGTCTCGTTGGGGATGATGCAGCGCACAAAGTGGGGGTGAGTAGACCTCAGGTTGGCCATCAGCTTGTTCAGATTCTCCTGCAAGTTTTTGACAAGGTTTTCATCACCTTAGTTCATGTTTGTCAAGTGTAAGAACCATTTGCTAAGATGTGGAGGGTATTTAGTTTTTCGTGTCAGTGTACTGAAAGTACGCTGTTTGTTTCTGCACTCTGCTAAACGACCAAGCCATTAACTGTACCGAATTTAACGTCTACGACACAAGATGTCGTCTATATCCTGTGACAGATGCTCGTGCAGCCATGGCCATCTTGGATAGATGAGCCTTGATTTTACCTGTGCTCATTTGTCAACGAGAGCTATTGGGAATGAAATGCATTGTCTTTCAAGTTCCTTGATAATCAGTGATCCTGTAGCAGACGTGTGAAGCTGCAGAACTCTTCAAAAATGAAAAAAAAAAAAAAAGGAAATGTCTTACCCTGTGTAAAGCGGACACCGTTTGGAACGAGGAACCTTTCTTCTTGCCGCCTTTTCCCTTGCCGCCAGATTCTTGAGCTAAATGAGGAAAACTGAGCTGTTAAACATCTCGCGCCGGAAGCAATCACATTTAAGGTCGGTCTTGCTGAGCTAAAAGCTGAACATACCAGAATCAGATCCTGCATACCCGGCAAATAGAATTGACAAGAGCTTGAGGCTCGACTTCTGGAAAAGTCCAACAACAGTCTCGTTCAGGGGATCTTTGTTCTTCACCAGCCAGTTGTTGATATTGTAATCAACAGTTCCAGCATAGTGGACAAGAGAAAAATGGGCCTCCGCTTTCCCTTTGACGATTCTGGGCTTCTGGAAGTTGCTGGATTTTCCCAAATGGTTGTCGTAAAGCTTCGCTTTAAAGGTGGCGTCGCTGGCTTTGGGGAACATGCACTCCTCCTCAAGGATGGACATGATGCCCATGGGCTGAGGGGGAGGGAGCATTAGATTGGAGTTTTGTGCGTCTGATCAGTCCCATCTGCTCCCAAAAAGCGTCTCTCACCTTTTCAATCAGGTCAATGCAGGCCTGCAAGTCCATGCCAAAGTCGATGAAAGTCCATTCGATGCCCTCCTTCTTGTACTCCTCCTGCTCCAGCACAAACATGTGGTGGTTGAAAAACTGTTGCAGTTTTTCATTGGTGAAGTTGATGCACAGCTGCTCGAAGGTGTTGAACTGAAACGGAAAGCGGGTCGATGTGAATTTCCTCACCCACGTCTTCATTGTGTTCATCGAACACAAACTAACTGAATGTCATCTTGTCTCGAGAACTACCAGACAGAGCTCACATCAAAGATCTCAAATCCAGCAATATCCAAAACACCAATGAAGTATTGACGAGGCTGCTTGGTGTCCAGAGACTGGTTTATACGGACCACCATCCACAGGAACATCTTCTCATAAACGGATTTGGAGAGAGCTCCGACAGCATAGTACACCTGGAAAAGACTTGATCAACTTCTAAAAGTGACCTCCATCCCTTCCTCAAGAGCGATTGCCCGCAAATACTTACCTGGGCAACATTTTGTCCCTTGGTGACCCACTCATTTCCCACTTTCACTCTTGGATGACAGAGACCCTTGACCAGGTCAGCTGAGTTCAGGCCCATCAGGTAAGCAACTTTGTCAGCCTCTGTCGGGAAAATATTTGCATACAAGCCTGTCTTGAGTCCACATGGCATTGGACATCTTTCGTCAGGATTTCTGGAGTTTCTGTTCATGATGCTTTGATATCAAGCGCAAGCCAAAGGAGGTTACAAGAGTGCATGGCAAAGGGAACCGTGAGTGCACCGTTTTTTATAATGACACCATCTATAAGAAGTACACTGTGTACACACACACACACACACACACACACACACACACACACACACACACACACACACACACACCAGAAGCTACAGTAGATGTAATTCCTCTGAGAGAATCTTTGGATTTGGCCATCATTTGTCCACATTCCACATAAATTTGTCAAGGAAAAGTGGGTGATGCTCACAGATTTCCTGAATGAATTCTTACCTTCAGTGCCGTCTGCTTCTGCCTGCTCTTCTCGTTGCTTCTGCTTAAACTTCATGTTACCGTAGTGCATGATGGCGCCGGTCAACTTATAAATGCTGTTCTTCTCTTCTTGAGTGAAGCCCAACACGTCAAAGGCCTCCTGAAAAATATCAAAACAAATCAAAGGAGTAATCATTAAATTGATGAATTGAAAACAATCCTCCAATCAGTGGTGAGCTCACATCAGTCGCCAGAAGCTCTTCGGAGTCATTGATGGAGGCTACGGTTGTCTCTCCTTGGGAGATGAAGGCGTAGTCGTAGGGGTTGTTGGTGATGAGCAGCATTTCTAGAATTGGGTCACATGGAATGAAAAAAAAAAAGAAGAAGAAGAAGAAGAAGAAGTTTCTTTGGGCAAGTCATGATTTCTTACCAAGAAGTTCAGGTTTCACCTGGGACAAGATTTGGTAGAAAATGTGATAGTCCCTCTCAGCTTTGAGCTGGAAGGTCACACGGGACTTTTCCAGAAGATCTGTTTCATGCGGTCACATGTTGTAAAACAAAACAAACAACAACAACAAAAAATAACCCCAAAACGGTTTTGCCATTTCTTGTCACAGCATTTGTCAACATTTACAACATCAAAATAGCAAAAAAATCTGAATATTTGTTCGGCAGTACAATGGATGAATGCTGAGCATTGTAGCTCGCAACAAGAAGGTTGTCGCTCGAAGCTTAAACCGCAATCTTTTTGAGTGGCCTTTGCAAATTTTCCCATTTGGTTTGTGCGGCTTGCTTACTCCCGCAGTATGCATCGTTTCCATGTGCCCGAAATTAGGGGAATTGAATACTCGAACACTGGAATGTGTTAGCGTTTAGCATGGGCTATATCCTGTTACCCACCCAGTCAGCTGATGTGTAATCACTCAGCGTCACACGCCCATCTCAGATTTTCTGTCTATTTCAATTGCACCACGCGACTCTTGATAAGATGTGACTTGGAACATTCATGTGGCGAGAGAACGCTTCACTTACAGGTTTCAATATCAGCAGAAGCCAACTTTCCCCGATTGTCAAAATGAATTCTGATGAATTTTCCCTGAGGAGAAAAGCGTTGATCGTGATAACATATCGCGTATTCCTAATGTTGAAAACCATCCTCACTCGTACTCACAAATCTGGAAGAGTTGTCATTTCTGATTGTCTTGGCATTACCAAAGGCCTCCAGGGCAGGGTTGGCCTGGATGATTTGATCCTCCAGGGTACCCTGAAGACAAAATGTCTGAGTTACTGCCTTTTGCACGAGGCGTGTGGGGAAATAAATATTGCTGTGATTCTTTTTGAATTGTGCTGAAACCTCCAAAGTGGAACCCGGCTACGGCCGTACAATTTCTAATTTGGTCAAACTTTTTCATAAAAAAGGATACATATTTTGGGTTGTTTGGGGTTTTTTTTTTCACTTTTTGTGAAATGATAACAGAAATGGCATGAGCTATGGCCAAGTTGGGGCGTGGGGGGTGTAGAGGTGAGCATACAAGCAAAATTCGACCGTCGAGGTTCCACTTTTGTCTCAAGTGCGCATCACCTTCTTCTCAATAGCTTGATCTTTTTTGCCACTTGGAACTGCGGCAATGCTGGCAAAGTATTGAATGACACGCTTGGTGTTGACAGTCTTTCCGGCACCAGATTCTCCGCTGCATTAAAAAAAAAACAAGTCAGCGTTAAGCTCGAGAATAATATCAAATGCTCCAAAATGTGTTTTTCTGTCTTTCTCACGTGATCAGAATGGACTGGTTTTCTCTGTCTGTAAATCAAACCAAGTGGTTATCAGCCATAGGTTGTGCTCTAGAATTGACTATTGCAAGTGAGCAGTTGACCAGAGTTTGTACCTGCCAGCATGTACTGGTAGGCGTTGTCAGAGATGGAGAAGATGTGGGGAGGAGCTTCGCTCCTCTTCTTTCCCCTGTAGGCAACAACCACCTCTTGGTTGTAGACCGGCAGCCACTTGTAGGGATTGACCGTGACGCAGAACAGCCCCGAGTAGGTCTGCCATAACGAGAAAAAACAAAACAAAACAAAAAAACCCCACACGTCTCAAATTCCACCACAACGAGAATGACAGGAAGATGCCAATGATTTTCTTACATAGATCATCCATGCCGCATAACGCTCTTTGAGGTTAAACAGCACGGCGGGCTCATGAAGGAAAGTGAACATGGCCATGTCTTCAATTTTATCAAACTTTGGCGGGTTCTGAGGGTGCACGTCACTCTCCTTCACTGTCACAGTCTGCGGAAATAAAATGATGGATTGGTCAAAGGTGAACGTGTGTTGTCTGGGTTTCAACTCGGTCACTATGAAGAGTATACCTTCCCAAACTCGGTGTGAGCAGTCACTTTGTCACCATCTCGACTAGTGACGGATGCCTTGACGTATTCAACTTCGGGGTCCGGAACGAAGCATTCCTTCTTCATATCAAATTGTCGAGTTTGGGCTTCCAAACGCTCCTTATCTGACTTGCGAAGAAAAGGAGCAGCTGGCCCAAATTCCGCCATTGCAGCATCGCCCATTTTGCTTCTTTTTCGTCTTCTCCTGAGAAGAGACAACGTTAGGTCCGGACACGTAAAACGGCGTTCCGGTTGCTTTTCACTCTGCACAGCTTAAAACTATGCACAGTTATTGGTTATAAATGCCTTGTGACACCATTTAGAGAGCAGTCAAGTAAACTATTAGTTTGTAAAATTGGATTGTCTGGTCCATTATGTTCTATGCTGCACCAATGAGTTTCCTCAAGTGCCTGCTTGACAGAAGCAAGTATGTACCAGAAAGAACAGAATTCAATGAAAAATGCTCCACTTAAAAAAAAAAAAAATGAAGTGGAGAAAAAAGAAAAAGTCAAGCAGGTCAATTAAACTGAAGCCATGTGGTGAATAGGAGGTGTAGCGTTGTGGTTACCTTCAGCTGTCAAGCGGAATGATGGTTCTGGTAGTTGATGGCAGGTTTCCTTCCCATTAATAAAGGTTGTTACTCAGCCAAATAAGGCGATGGATCTGAGAGAGATGACATCCCATTTGCATATCAGAAAAAAAAAGATGTCCCCCCCCCAATTGGGTCCGGTCGACTGCTGCCATTTGTTGACTGCGAGAGAACAATAAGCAAGATTGGACATGACGGAGGAAGGGGTGGTCGTTGGTGGGGGGGCAGTAGACGACCCTTTATCCAACACGGTAATATTTGAACAGCAATAATAGCGGTTCAATTGTACAAACGGGATGCAAACAGATCTTATTTGTATCATAACGTTGGGCGTATTGGGGTAGTCTTTATGTGGTCTCTACATGTATTGTTTCAAGAACAATGATTGTTATATCGTGTTACGTGTCATGATTCCGAAAATGTCAAAACGCATGAACAATAATGCCTCTGCTGCACAGATTCCATGACACCATGCGTATGACGTGTGTCATATAGACGTTGGGCTGGTTCCGATTCTAAATGAAGTATTGCGGGCTTGGAAGCAACCAGATTTAGGAGACCCCCCCCCCCCCCAAAAACAGGCCAGATCAGCAATAGTCTGTCAAGTGATATGGTGTGGAACACATTTCAAGAGGGAGACCAAAGAGCTGCAGCTGCTGCCTACGAAGAGACAAGACAGGGCCAAGGTCACAGCTGTGGCATCTCTTTAGAATCACTCATCACTATTTACAGTTCACGTAGATGTATACCCCCGCTCCCTGGACTCTTAACATTGTTGAATTGTATATTGTTGTGGGTTTTTTTTTTTTTTTTTGGTATCTGGCTTTGATGAACTGAACTCATTACTCTTCAGTGAATGCTGTTGCAGATGTAAATCAGCCTAAAAGCCCAAAATCTCTTCCGTGCAGTCACTTGTACAGTACAGGTACTGTACATTTGTAAATAAAGACATTCTAAAAGTCATTGACCTCTTTTTTTCTGAAAACAGGTCCAATCTTTTGGATCTTGCGTGACTGAGTAAGTACTCAGTAAGGCCTTACTCAAAAATAGCAGCCATTTTGAGTCACAGTGGGCGACTTCCGGTTTCTGGTAGAATAAACGCCGGTGCGCTTGGCTGCCGATGCTCACTGGCGTACTCAAGGCTTACTTCCGATTTTTCTCTTCAACTATTTTAAGGGCCTAGTACAGTATCGGAATTAACCCGAAGCGGTTTTTACGTGGAAGCTTGAACCTGCCGACTCGATGGGCCTGGCATGAGACGTCTTTCTGTACCCCCTTTGCCTTCGTCCTGCAGTTTCTTACCACGATGCGGACTGCCAGAGTGCAAATGCGCAGCTATTTATCGCCCTGATCCGTGTCCACCCTCCAGTGTCTGCACTGAGCTCCTGCGATGACGCTTTCGTTTACGTTTCTTTGGACGTTGTAAATGAGCAGTCAGTTGAACAAGTAATTGTTCAAACAGCAACGTACAAAAATCACACCATCGATCATCGAATAAAACCGGAGCCACTATGACCTTGACTGCTAGCTTCTATGCTAAAGCGGCAGAGGACATAAGGTGAGCCGTTGGCACGGCCTTGCTGTCTTCTGCGTGCGCTTTGTTCGTTCAAAGATAACTTGTTACATTGCTCCTTGCTACCCCTGGGAGTTTGTTCATTCAGAGGGCGCCTCGGGGACACGAGTTGACGGGACGTATTTTAACTCCTCCGTTGATTCACAGTGACAGGTGACGGCACCCTCGGCAAACAAGGATGTACAGTGTGTTTGATCGAACCAAATGCGGAAAAGTCATGACGCACGCTTGATCGTGCCCGTGCAATAATGTGCAAAAGGATTCTGGAATTCTCAGATGAGAGATCATTTGTCAGAGCAGTTGATGATGAAAAAAAGCAACCGGGAAGTGAAATGTACACTGACACTTTGCAAACATGGCTGCTTTTCTTTTCAGCTCCATCTTTGCATCTCCGGAGGCCTGAATTTGATCAAATTGGCAGCAAAAAATTCAGTGCCCTTGCTTCTCAGCTGTAGCCGTGGTATCCGGACGTTGACGCACGGCGCCTTCCGCCAAAGGTCTCATTGTCAGCTTTCGAGGGGGTGTTGAATTCAGCTGGGGGCTCACCGGAGTCGATCCTTCTTTTTGTCTTGTCTTTTCACCTCACTTGCTTAGTCTGCGGACCTCTTTGTGGGCTCAGGGCATGTAGCCAGGAAACGCAGACAAGGGGAAGGAAACGTCTGGTTCAGGTAATTCACTTAAGATGATCATTTTGCAGCGGTGTCAATGTGGAGTATTTGTATGTTGTCATGAGCGAAGATGGACACGTTCAAGTTCCTGTCTGTTCTTTTCAGCACTCCGGGGAAGGCGGTGAGCCAAAAAGAGGAAAATATCAGCGCTGTTTTCAAGGTTAGTTCACGTTTGAGTCAGCAAACTGGAGGAAAAACAAACATGAACGCGTCGGCTTGTTTCAGAACCTTGCAATTGATCACGTTAGCAAGTGCCCTCTGCTGAGTGAATTTTGCAAAGTCAAGTGAATGACTTCTTTCAATTAAGTGTCGAGCAAATGCGAGTGAACGAGTGAAAAGAGGGGCACTTGAAAAATGTTGTTCAATGCAATGCTGAAGTGGTATCAAATATGGTCTTTTGAGTTGGAAGTATCCAGTATTTATTATTATACTGGTTAACCATACCTAGGGAGTGTACATTGAAAACAAAATCGTAGGCTTTTGTTGTTTATTTTTTTTTTTGCAAGACTTTGCTGTAAAATGTACGTTGTTTGTGTAAATATGCAGGCTTTCAAAAATATTTACACGTGTTTCCTTTACGCCCCCCCCACACTCTTACCAATAATATTGATACTAATACTGTATTTAATGAAACCTCAAGGTGGCGCTCTTCTCATGAATGGGAGTAAATGTTAATATATTGTCATGTTTCTATGCTATTTCCACACACAAAGTCCAACACAAAGTTACCCGATATTGTTAAGTGGAGGGAAAGTTTTCCAATACTTTTACAGTCTGTCAAATAGAAGCCACGAAGACAAAAGTAACCCAATAACCCGAAACGACAACAAAGTTGAGTCAAAGATGGCTTCATGCGTCCCTTCATCTACTTTTGCTGCTCTGACTTTTTTCGAGCACATGAGCAGGAATGTGCGGTGAGGCTCACGACTGTTGAGGCACTGCTCCACTGGAGTCGGATATTAAAAAAAAAGAAGAAAAAAAACACATTTGAACACAAAATCGAAGACTTGTCTATGTTTCCATTTTGATCTTCACTGAAGCTTATGTTTCAAATAAGGTCAAAATTGATTTTTGGAAGATTTGCCGTCAAAGATTTTAAGTCTGTTTTCATCAATTCCAAACTGTTCGTCATTGTGACAGTGAGAGGTTAGGCATCGTCAGTCCGGTGAGTCCGTCAGCATTTCGGGCCGGCCCGCTCCTTCCGAGTCATCCCAAACGTCATTCTGGGTACTTGGTCACACGCAGGGGCTGCACACCTGACACACAGCCAAATACAGACACAAAAAATAAAAGTGTCGTCTACTTTACAGTCCCACAGACCTCAATGACGTGTCCATGTTGTTTTTATTTCACCAATCACGTTGTTTTTATTTGACTTTTTTTTTTCATCGACATTGTGGGTTTTGTCATGGAGAAAATTTGCCGAGCTGCAGAGTGATGAGGCACGGGGACTGTTGACATTAGGCTACAGTCCCTCAGCCAATCAGGATGCAGAACTCAATGCACCGTTGCTCTCTGGGGGAGGAGGGGACTGCACGAATAAAATCCGTGAAACAGCAAAGCCGTGAACGATGAACCGTGTTATAGCGAGGGATTACTGTACATGCAATACAATCCATGCACTAAAAACTATATCCACACTGAAGACAGCCATGACGAATGAGACAAGACATGAATGACCATCAAGACAGCCAAATAAAATGTAGAAGAACTGCCCACTCGCAGACAATGAATGCTATAATGCAAACTTAATTCACTTTTGTTGGGGTTGTTTTCCAATTTGGAATTTAACACCCCAAAAAAGAAAGAAAGAAACGAAAACTGTTAACTGGAATCCAAACTCTTCCTGCAAATGAGTTTTCAAACAGTGAGCTGTGGTCAACTAATCCAAAAGTTCTCTGAAGGTCAGTCGTGAAGGTGCCGGCAACCCATTTGCGACACACTTGTGAGACTGGCTTGTTGCAGCTGTCGTTGAGGTCATGGGCTGACTTCCCTCACACGACTGCTGATGCCTGAGAGGTCTACGCCCTTTATCTCGCGCTGTCGTCATCGTATTGTTCCCTCTCCATTGGCCTTGACGACAAAGATAACCGTGTGAAATTCTTGTCTGGATTGTTTCTCCCTGATTGAGAAACGCAACAGCTGTCAGCCCTCGTGAATGGATGAGGGTTAGCAGATGCAAAGCGCTCAGAAAATACAACTCATCCGATGAAACTTACACATTTTATATTGAAGGCAGGGAGGGATGGGGGGGGGGCGGTGTCAGAATCTTGATCTGTTGGCTATGCTTGCTTTTATACTATATATTCTATAAATGCAATATCAACAGATGAATTGCATTCTTTTCACCCCTTTTCTTCCGGTTGTATAAAGCACTAACTCAATGAAGTGCAAAATTCGATGATTAGATAATAAGATAAGATAAGAAAGCCTTTATTTGTCTCACAATGGATACATTCCCTATTTACTGCAGCAAAATTATGAAAGGGAGAAAGTAGAAGACAGAAAGTATATCAATATAAGCATATTAAAAATGGACAATAATGAATGAAGAGTGAAAAATAGACAAACCCTTCTCCTTGACTTTTGAAATAAGGTGTGCCATTAAACAGCAGTTTGGTAAGAACCGATTTGAATTTGCTTTGAAATTGTTGGCCTCGATCTCAGCTGTTTTATCCGCTATCATGGCTGCTGATATCTCACCTCCAAGCTTCAATTCCCTTCCTGCTCCTGTGTCAGCACAAATTTAGACTCCCCCCGTGTTAAAAGATGTTGGTAAA